AAAAAAAATTCAGGGGCCGGCCTGTGGCTCACTCGGGAGAGTGCGGTGCTGATAACACCAAGGCCCCGGGTTCGGATCCCATATAGGGATGGCCGGTTCGCTCACTGGCTGAGCGTGGTGATGACAACACCAAGTCAAGGGTTAAGATCCCCTTACCGGTCATCTTTAAAAAAAAAAAAAAAAAAATTCAGGAAGCACAATTCACATACTGGTGATGAGACTAGGAGTGAAATCTGCCTTACACTTAGGATTGTTAGTACAAATTATAATATTAAAAGTGAAAAGGAATTGTATTGGTCTCGTTTCCTTTATTTTAGAGTCCCTAGTCAAAGTTGTGGCCCTGTGTGCTGGTTCTGGGTGCAGCGTTCTGCGGGGTGTAGAGGCTGACCTCTACCTCACAGGTAGGACAGTCTTTGGATTATTCCTTCCCAACCTTGGTTTGTTTTTCAGTAGTAGATTTTAGGACAGTGCCTGGCACATAGATGATATTTTTTTGAACCTGAATTAAACAGAAACTACACCAGAATTGGAGACATATTGTATTCTTTGTGGAGAGAAGAAATCATTGAAAAATTATTAGATTATCTCAAAAACTGGTATCTAGCATTTATTTAACCTATCTTCTTCCTAAACCTGATTGCTCTCAGATTTCATACGTTAGTTAACAGGATACTTTCTATCCTATCACCTTAGAAAATGGTTCCTCTTAGCCCTAAAGCCAATGATCAATTCCTGTCAGTTCAAGCTCCAGTATCTTTCTAGAGCCTTTCCTCTTATCTCTATCTCACCATCAACTCCTACCTAAAATACTGCATCAAGCCTCTAGTCTTCCATATACTCTACCAAAATTAACTTTTGAAGGTAAAATTTGCTGGTGTTATTGTCCTGGTTAAAAGCCTTCAGTGATTTCCTTCAAGGCTGAATGTTGCACCCTCTTTCATATAGCCTTTGCTTATGCTGTTTCCCCCAGCTAGAGTGCCTTTTTCTTGCCCCTTTCCTTGTACTTGTACTGATAAGTGATCGCCTTCTCTGAGAAGCTTTTTCTGACACTGGCCTGCTTCTGCCCCTCTTGGATCCCTATCACTTTGTCCTTAACCTCCAATATGCATTTCTTTTGGACAGTAATTATTTGCCTGGCTCCTAGACATAATACTCTGTCCTTGAGGATAATACCTAATATGTACTGGTTAATTTTTATTGAATGAATTACTGGTCTAGTTACTACTCAGGGATACAGCCAAACATGGCCCATTAGTCCTCCAAAGGATTTGGAGGCATTTTAAATGGTCCCCACTTTGTACACCTGCTGCTACCAGCTGCATTTCCACCTCTGCTCCTCCTTAAGGTGAGGAGAGAGTGAGTTAGAGAATTACTTTTCCTGCTTCTAGGACCAGACTCTAGGATCTTAATCCTCTGATCATTCCCTTGCCTATCCTGCCTCCCACACCTGTGCCTTATTATCTAGCACATAAAGGCTGCTGCACTGGAAACACTGTCACATCCAGAAGTATAGAGGTGCAGCATCTGAGTAAGCCTGATGTGATTGCTCTGAACAAGTAAACTGAAAATATAAGGGCTGGCCTGTGGCTCACTTGGGAGAGTGCGGTGCTGATAACACCAAGGCCACGGGTTCGGCTCCCTATATAGGGATGGCTGGTTGGCTCACTTGGAAGAGTGTGGTGCTGACACCACCAAGTCAAGGGTTAAGATCCCTTTGCTGGTCATTTTTTTTAATTTAAAAAAAAAAAAAAAGGAATTTCAGGTCTATACTTGCAGGAATAGTACAATCAACTCCTGTATGTCCTTCCCCTAGATTACTAATGGTTATATTTTGCCACATTTGTACATTATGTACATATGTGTGTGTGTATATATATATATACATAATATACTTATGTATTTTACCTGGAACAATTTTGGAATAAAGTGCAGACATGATGACCGTTTATCCCTCAATACTTCAGTATAGTCTCCTCAGAACAAGGATATTCTCTTATGTAATCATGGGACAGTTATTAAATTCTGAATTTAATATTGTTAAAACACTTATTTGATATAGTCTATTTTCAAATTTGGCCAATTGATAAATATTTATAGCACTTCTTTTTCTGATTTGAACCCATGATCACACAATGCATTTACTGTTATATCTCTAGAATAGTTCCCCAGTTTTTTCTTTATAGCATTGACATTTTTGAAGGGTATAGGCCATTTGATCTGTGGTTATTTTTCTTTTTTTTTTTGTCCTTTTTGAGACCGGCCGCACCGCACTCAGCCAGTGAGTGCTGTGAGCGCACAGGTCATCCCTATATATAGGATCCAAACCCGCGGCGGGAGCGCTCCCGCGCTCCCAGCGCCGCACTCTCCCAAGTGCGCCACGGGCTCGGCCCATCTGTGGTTATTTTTCAATTTGAGGTGTCTGATTGTCTCCTTATAAATTTTTTTAAAACTTTAAAAAAACAAAAAAATTATAAAGTAATATATGCATAAGATAAATTCAAGTTCCAAAATGTGAAAATATCTTTCCTATATGGCTATGTGGAGAATAGAAAAGTGTTATGTGGCTAACTTAAACATCTGTGATATGTGAGGCATCACTTTAAATAAATTCTAGGAAGCATCAGCCAAAGGACCAAATATTGGCTTCTGCTGCAGTTCATCACCCTTCCAGTGAGTCTGAGGCAGTGTTCTCATGGTTGTTAAGGGTGAGTGATATCATATAAAGACAAGCAAATAGGGAGCTTCCTCCTTGTAAATTCTCTCTCATTTGTCAGTCTCTCTTGTTTGCTTATTCTTTCCCACAGCTGCCATCCTGAGTGAGGCTTTTCTGTCCTTTGACTTCAGCTATTCCTGTAAGATCTTCACTGATTTCCCCATCTTCATGGCTTCTCCAGCCGATTAATTTATTACATAGTCCAGGCTGCCAGACATGTCTTTCCTAAAGCATGGTTTCTATGTGGGCCACTTTAATGTCTTTTTCTACTTTACTTCCCTTTTACTGTTACAGATTAAGGTGTTTTAAAAGATGCTTAAATAAAAGCCATTCCTTGTAGTGAAATGACACATACTTGGTGGAGAGCATGGTGAACTGAAAATTTTGGGGCGTAAGCTGGCCGATTAGCTAAGTTGGTTAGAGCACAGCCTTACAACATCAATGTCATGGGTTCAGATCCCTGCACCAACTAGCCCCCCCACCTCCAAAAAAACCAAGAAAATTTCTGGGAATGTACTTTTTTCCTAAGTGCCATTTTTCCTTAATTTTTATGCTTTTGTCTCTAGATTTAGTTCAAAATTATTCTTATGAACAAACCAAATTGTACACAATACATTTTTGCTTTTAAATTGTCATCAGATGCACAAATGGTGTTTTTAAAAATTTGAAACATTGTATTTGAGTTTTCCCCAAATCTTTTCACAAGATAAGACCCTGTTCTACCAATAACTTCAGAATTTCTAGTAATTTTGCCTAAGTCAAAAAAAATTTTTTGGGCCGGCCCATGGCTCACTCGGTAAAGTGTGGTGCTAATAACACCAAGGCCCCGGGTTCGGATCCCACATAGGGATGGCTGGTTCGCTCACTGGCTGAGCGTGGTGCTGACAACACCAAGTCAAGGGTTAAGATCCCCTTACTGGTCATCTTTTTAAAAAAAAAAATTTTTTTTTTTAAATCTAGGAATAAACTCATTTCATCCTTATGAATTGGACCAGGGTTGATGCTGAAAATATTGGTGCTCACAAAGCATAAATGAGTCTTCTGGGAAGTATACCTAGGACTTTCTCCTGAGGTATTTATTACTTATGTAAGAAGGAAACTTTCTGAAAGCCCCATTTTACTTAGCAGTAGTCATTTATTTTATTGTGGAAACACTATGGGTGTTCTGAGAGATCTGGTTCTGCTAGATATGTTGGATAGGATATTTGCCTTGGGTTGCCAAGGAGAAAGAAGTTGGAATTCACAGTGGGATGGCCTCTCTCTTTTTAAGTTGAGGGACATGTAAGAAAACTATACACAGCTTTCTAGATTTATATGGAAAGTAGTTCTACTGTATTATGTTTATTTCATACAGAATCCATATTTGGTATTTCTGCTGTTGTGGTTCAGCATTTCAGATACCATGTCTAATATTTAAATATTTATTTGCTCTTTCCTTTTTGGCAGGTGAGATGTCCCATCATGATACTCTGGATGCTGCTTCCCAAGGAATAAATGTCATCCTCTGTGAACATAGCAACACTGAACGAGGTTTTCTTTCTGATCTTCAGGATATGCTGGGTGCTCACTTGGAGAATAAGATTAATATTATCCTGTCAGAGACAGACAGGGACCCTCTTCATGTGATATAACACATACAGGAACATCAGGATGACACAATCTACAAATTGATTGGATTCCAACTCAAATGCCTAACAAGTCAGTGGAGTCAATATCCTTCTGGAAGAGTGTCTCAGAATGTAGTATCACTTCCACGGATGACACAATCTACAAATTGATTGGATTCCAACTCAAATGCCTAACAAGTCAGTGGAGTCGATATCCTTCTGGAAGAGTGTCTCAGAATGTAGTATCACTTCCACTTTGTTAATCTGGTTCATCAAATGTTTGATAGCTCATAAGGTAAAAACTGTAATGTAACACATTAAAGAACAATATTCATTATAAACTCTATGAAAGATTGACTAAAATCTGCTCAACATTCTTGGGACGTATCTCAAGTAATTCCTTAGCTTAATTGTAGATGGGATATGTCAATCTAGGTATCTCTGCCCTTTTGTTAGTTTAAAAATATACTTTAAACACTTGGGTCTGAATACTTATTTCTAGGTAGTAGCTATTTTGGAGTGATAAGGTCTATATGTACATGTTCCTAGATCCACCTAATTTCTAATCTCTCACCTAAATTTTGAATCAGGATGAGGTTGTTTTTTTTTTTTTAAATACATGATCAGTATTCATATTACTATTACTCTATTGCTTTGTAGGTGACTCACCTATAATTTTATTAGTACTATATAAAGATGTTTAACTCTCAAAATAACATTGACGATTACTTATACAGCATTAGTTTTATGCCAGGCACTCTACGAGGTGCTTTATAAACACTAACACTTTCAGTCCTCATGAAGCATATAGGTATTATTCCCGTTTTATAGATAAGGAAACTGAAGTAGATTAGGTAGTTTGCCCAAGGCCACATAGCTAGAAACTGATGAAGTTAGGATACAAATCCAGGCAGTCACCCCCAAGCCTGTGGCTTAACCACTTCTTAATTAAATACATTGACACTGAAATTGATGTAAGTATGGAAGAAATCCTGAAGGAAAAGAAATCCATTTTAACTGATTTTTCTTTAGATAGTATGATGGGAGATTTTAAGGAAAAAAAATGCTCTTGTATATCCAACATCTCTACTGAGCATGTTACTTTGATGACAAAGAGCAAATCTTTTAAAATACTGTCCAAAATGTCCAAACAGAATTCTACATGTCTTTTATAGCAGGTTTTCCCTACCAATCTCATATCCTGGAGGACTTGGGATCCTAACTTAGAAATTATTCCTGGTGGATCACCTGTAATACAAGAAGTAGAAAGTTTCAAAGGGGTAGTCAATAGTGTCAAAGTAGAGAGAATGAGACAGACAGCCTTTGAAAGACTGTCTAATGGTATTTGGTTCAGTCGTTCATCATTTGCTTTTTATGTACTGGGCCCAAAGAGATGTGCGGAGGATAGGACAGCAATTTGGATAATTACAATAAACCATTTTAAGAAAGTATGATAAAGACATACATAGAGTATTCAGGAAAGGTTTTCTGAGGAAAGAGAGTAGAACTCAGTTAAGAGGGACAGCTTGAAAAAAATGCCGTGAGGAGAGAAACATCATAGTACATTGAAAAACCAAGTAATTAACTCATTATTGTCAGGGTGGAAAAGCAGGAGGCAGGAACGGAGTAGCCAGGGATGATGCTGAAGAAAGCCTGGGGCTAGTGACTCTTAAGCCTTTTTTTTTTTTAATACCACTCTTAAGGTGAGATGTCCCATCATTATTGGCCTGCTAGCACTTCTAAATAGCTAAACATACCCCCCAACATATCCTTTGTAGTTTTCTTTACACAAAACGTCACCCAAGATTGCTCTTTACTTGTCAGGTTTCCTGAACTGTTAGCTTTTGCTGAAATGTTATTATTTTATAAAATTTGATAATGAGCTTTATGTTGTACTCATGTTTAAAGTTATATCTCCCATAGCATCAATCATTTCAAATTCACTTTATTCAACACATTAAGGATGCTGTAGATTTTACTGTCATTAAAACCTCATAAATAGTTATTTCATGTTTAATTTTCATATCCTCACAACTCCTGTCTGGCAGAGCGTGCTATGTAGTAAGTGCTCAAATTAATTACAACAGCTTAACAGCAATTTGAAAAAACCAAAATGTGGGAGACCCCTCCTAAGGGAGAAAGCAAGTAATTACAAAAAGCGTGAGAACAAAGTCATTTATATAATTTATCCATCCCTCAGTTTTTAGGAGCCACACAATATGTCATAAGGCAGACACTCATGACTCACTGCCACCTGAGGGCTAATCAAAACTGAGCTGGAAGAATCATCTCAAATCTCAGAATGTCTAAGAAAGTACATTCTGAACAATGCTACCAACTCCACATTTGAATTAGCTGGAAACAAAAAATGACTGAACTTGTAAAGTTTGTTAGTAATTTTGTTTAAAAGTTAAGCAAAATCTATTAACCATCCCCCAAACCCACTGACCTTTTTATTATTATTTTTTTTTTTGTCCTTTTTGAGACCGGCAGCACTGCGCTCAGCCAGTGAGCGCTGTGAGCGCACCGGTCATCCCTATATAGGATCCGAACCCGTGGCGGGAGTGCCGCCGCGCTCCCAGCGCTACACTCTTCCCGAGTGCGCCACGGGCTCGGCCCTCCACTGATCTTTAATATGAATGAAATGATCATATATTTAAATAACTAATATGGGCCGGCCCGGTGGTGCACTCGGTAGAGTGCGGTGCTTGGGAGTGCAGTGGCGCTCCCGCCGAGGGTTTGGATCTCATATAGAGACCAGTCCGCTCACTGGTTGAGCGCGGTGCGGGCGCAACACCGAGGGTTGCGATCCCCTTGCCGGTCGCGGTACGGGCGCGACACCAAGGGTTGCGATCCCGTTACTGGTCACGAAAAAAGACAAAAAGGAAAAAATAAATAAATAAAAATAAATAAATAACTAATATGATGCTAAGAAAGTACAGTTTGGGGCTGGGCAGTTAGCTCAGTTGGTTAGAGCACAGTGTTGATAACACCAAGGTCAAGGGTCAGATCCCCATGCCTGCCAGCTGTCAAAAAAAAAAGCCCAGTTTCTGGAGTATTACAAAAACTAATTTAGCACTCCCTGCATAAGGAATTCAGTATTGTGCCAGTTTATAAAAAGTAAATGTTCTACATCCCTATGTGTTTTTTGCCATTTTATTAAGAGCACCCAGAAAATCTTTTCAAAGTTTCGGGTCTGTTCAGTTGTGTCAAAAGCAAGTTAACACAGACAATGAAATTAGAGCCTTAGCAGTCAAGACAAAACTGCTAGAGCTTAAGAACACTGACGCTGACACAAGTTAATGAAGAGCATACATAACAATAATTCTGCCAAGATCTTCACCAGATCCGTAAGGTGCACTCACAAAATTTCTTTAGAAGCACTTCAAGATATTTTCAGCACTAAAAAATTTAAAAAGTGATTCTATCCAAATAGGCTTTTTACTTATTAATAATTAATAAAGTCTATTACACTTTTTATTTATTAGTAAAGTCTACTGACACTGCTCACAAATAGATTAGACACAAAAATTACAAAAATAAACCACTAGATATTTAAGGGTAAATGCAAAAATTTGCATATTAGGTCCATAAAAGTTTTGTATATTTTTTATACTGTAATAGTTATTATAAACTAGATATATTAAGCAAAAGAAGCAAAGTGCAAACCAGCAAGTATATGTTACCATTTGTGTTTTTAAGAGGAAAGAGACAGATAACCTTACATATGCATAGACTATCTCTGAAGAATATTTATACTATTATCAGTGGCTGCCTAAAGGACTTGGGGATAGGGAATGGGAAGGAAATTCACTTTCGTTTAATATCCTTTGATACTACTAAAAAAATTTTTTTAAAAATCATATTCATGTACAAATTTAAATATTTTAATTAGTAGTTATATTTAAGACTAGACCCTTAATAAATGGACTTAAAGTTACTGAATTATATACCATAAAGAAGTTATAAGAAAATTCCAAGCATTTTTGGAAACCCCTTTCTTAAAAGGAGTTTACAAGATAAGAAATGAATGAGAAATGCTGATGCAGTACCTATTTTATTGCAGTGATATTTTGACAAAGAATTTCATTTCCAAATATGACATATTTCATATGTGAAGACTAAGCTGACAACAGGGGCCAAGGTTAGCCTTTTTTTCTTTCCTAAGAAAAAAGGATCATGTAAATATTTAGAAAAAAAAATGGAAATATTTTACAGTTAATTTTAGGTCTACTTGATGGCAGAATCAAGATTAATTTACAGCCATCCATTAATATACTGCTCATCTGCAAGTTATTCAAGAAAAGAATATGTCAGTATACAAGAATAATGAAATGTTTTTGCTTTTTGTCTCAAAAACAATTATTAAAATGTGATTCAGGAGTAATTCAGGATTTTATTTTTCTAGCCTGGCTTCCCACTTATATCATGAAGGTCACGGCACTTACATTAACTGTTCCAAATTATTGTTCATGTGCTTTCTAGATTGGGCAAGCACCCTATATACTTCTTATGCTTTTCCTGCTATCCCAACCATATAGTATCATATACCCCCTCCACACCCCCAGTATAAAGCCTAAATCCAAAAGGAGAAACCTGGATCACCTACTTCTTCCCAATCTATACCTTTTAAGTTGTTTCAGAAATAGTAAGAAATGATCTGTCTTCTCCGGTACACTCTTCAGTTCTGACACAAGGAACAGCAAATAAAGCAGATTTACGTGATGCCTATGTCCTTTATACTTCCATACTCTGGAACAAGCACACTTGCAAACAATCAGCTCGAGGAGTGTTAAAAGGCCCTCAAAAAATTAGAAATAATATCTCTAGTATAAAAGAATTCAAACACATCCAGTTCCAAACAGTCCCTGAGCACACTTCATTCCAGCAAGAAGTCTTCAGAGAGGTAATGAATGAAAGGCACATTTTCTCCAACATGAGGACCGCTGCATAGTACTAGAGACAGTACACCAGTCAGGCTAATAAAAAGTTCTAATTGATGACATTCCTCTTCCCAATTTTAAATCTTGTATGCTGGAAAAATAATCTAATGTTGGATGTAAACACAACACTTTTGACCAGAGGAGTGGCAGCTGGGGTACACCAACCCTTCCATGGAAAGTTCAAGAGTAAAGGATAGCTTCAAGCCTCCTCTTCTTCCCTTTCTAAGAAATCATTCAATGTTCCATTGTCAACAGGAATTAATAAATACTCCACTCCGTCACTTCCCTAAAAGATGTAAGAATACCCTGTATGTTAGTCATTTGTAAGGGAGGCACTTCTATTATAGGTTAAACAAAAAATGGATTTGATTTCTTTGATGCAATATTTTAAATCAATATATAAATATAAAAATTAAGACACAAGGGCACAAAGGCACATGTATCTATTTAAACACAATGAGTTACCGTTAAACTACTTTATAGTAGAAAAGAAGACTAAGCGGGTATTTATTTTCTTCACTGTGCTTTAGATCCTCCTTTAATCTCTTGCCCTCTCCAGAATCTGACACTATTGATTTCTCTGTTTTTTTCTCCGTATCAGTGAGATCTATCCCCACTGGCTTTTAAACACATTTAAGTATCTCCAATTTTTAAATAACCCTCATTAGACTCAATCATTCCTCTCCAACTATCATCCTACCTCTGCACCTTCCCAGAAGAGTCATCTACGATGGAGGTCTTCTCCACCCTAGCTACTGCTTCCATTGCATGTCATTTGCTTAGTCAACCAAAGAATTCTAGATTCCTAAATCCCATGGATACTTTCAGTCTTCATCTTTTTGTCCTGTCAGCAGCATATGACACTGCTGACTATTCGCTCTTCCTTAAAACATGCTTCTCATGGCTTCTATGACATCATATCCTGGTTTTTCCTCACTATCTGGCTGTTTCTCTCACTTCTGCAGGCTTATTCTTTACATGGCAGTTAAATGTCAGACTTCCAGGCTTAGTTCCTGGCCCTTTAATCTCATTAAATGTCCTCCCTCTAGGAAGTCCCACCAATGCTTGATTTCGGTTACAACCCAAATACATAGGAATCATAATCTTGTATCTCCAGCCCAGATCTATCCTCTGGTTTCTTGTCCCAGGTAGCCTAGTTGACATGTCTACTTGGAAATCTCAAAGAAACCTTAAACACAGTAAGTCTAAACTTACTAAGATCATGAACTCATGATCTGTCTCCCCAAAATGTTGCTCTTCCAGTTTCTCATCTAACAATCTCACGATCTCCAGGAATCACCCTTAACACTTTCCTTTCCCTTGGTCCCCGTATCCAATCTATCATCAATTCTTATCAATTTTACCTCCCAAGTATATCTTGAATCCAACTGCTTTTCTCTCTTCACCTAGTCCAATTCACCATTGTTTTACCCAGACTACTAACACATTCCTAGCTAGCCTCTGCAGATCCACTTTTGGCAATCCCATCCCACTCTGCCCCATTCCACTCTTCATACCAGAGTAAGAACAATTTTTCAATGACTTCTCATTATTTCAGAATAAATATTAAAATCCTTCCCTTGGCCTAAAAGATATGCATGGTCTAGCTCTTACATCACTGTCTCTTCAGCCTCATCTTGTGCCACGCTGGCCTTCTTTTTAAAGTTCCAGGGTGTCTCTACATGCTGTGCCTGGCCTGGGATACTCTTCCTTTCCCTTCTGACTAGTTATCTCCTAGTCTTTTAGATCTCAACTCAGTGGTCTCTTCTGATATCCATAATTAGGTCAAATCCACCTACTTTAATATGCTCTTTCAGAACCATGTACCTTCTGTCACAGGACTTAACACAAATTTAACATGTATGCGATTACTTGAATAATGTTATGTCTCCCCCATTAGACTTTAATTTCTGTAAGAAAAGCAATTAAGTTTTTCCTTACAAATACTTAGTACAGTATCTAATAATTAGTATTCAGTATAGACTGAATGAATGGAGTAGAAGTAAGAGAAGGGAAAAGAATTTTTTGAAACATACTGTATTTCTAGTGGCCTATTATTGTGAACTAAAATTTATAAGGAGTTTTCTGCTCTGAAACAGAATACTTCTACCATGTCTCTTTCTATAGAATTCAAATGGCACATACTTAAATGAATCATGGAAACTTAGTTTCAAAATCAGGTCTGAGTCAAAGGTATATTTGTCCTTAAGTAAATGATATGCACTATTCCTGGCATACAACCCTGCAAAGAAAGCAGTCTTACCTTCTTTGTTCTTATAAGCTTGTGGTCCCTAAATTCAATTAACTGGGCCCGGAGAGTGACATCACTATTGACGAGGAATGCCTCCCGACACTGCTGGTAAAAATCTTGAAAAGAAAGTCCTGGCAAGTTCAAAAGGAGATGGGAATATAAGTCAGCATTTAAGACATGACCCCAGAAATGAATACCCACACCAAAGACCACAGAACAAAAGTGCTGTTGGCATGTTATACCAAAGTAGTCAACAAGTATTGATTTTAAAAAAGTAAGCAACTCTAGAAGAAGCAAAACCAGAGAATACTTAGGTTTTAAATGCTGTGGCTTATAGTTTTTAAGGACAACCAATTGGTGAAAGTAGTCGACTGTGAGCAAGTAAGTGTAACATAACCCTGTGGACAGTTTTAAATAGCATGAACAAATTGACTTTTAAAGTGAGAACTAGTAAGTCACGAGAGTGGAACAATTACTAAAATGTTTGATTAACACATTATTTTTGCCAAAGGGGAAAAAATCTAAAATGCCCAGCATATGAAAAATATGTAATTAGCAGACACACATCCACAGTTAGCACAGGAAATTTTAAAACTAAGCTGGGTTTGTCTTTCAATTTGTGTTGGCAAATAGCCTATTCAGCAGTGTATATGTAAGGCCAAGCCTATTCAGCAGTGTATATGTAAGGCCACTTGAAAATTTGTTATGTGGCAGACATACCCACCAGAGTGACCACTTACTGCTGTGAAAAACCGCTGTACTATGATTAGATCCAGAAAAAGAATTTACAGGGTAAAACAAAAGTCACACAATTTAATAAATATTTGATACCAATGTAAGAAGGGTTATCCTGGTTATTCAGCTGATACTTTATTAGTAGCCTGAAAATCCCCCTAAGGAAAAAAAAAAACAAAAAACCAGGAATTCAAATCCAGAATGTTAACATCAAAAGATAAAAGATTAGGAATAAAACATACAAAGAGAATGTCAAATACGTGGCCTATCTGCATTATCCCCTTTTCCTTTCTCCAAGAAACATCATATTCTCACCTACTTACTATTATTATTTTTTTTAATTTTATTTTGTCGATATACAATGTGGTTGATTATTGTGGCCCATTACCGAAACCTCCCTCCATCCTCCCTCTCCCATATTCTCACCTACTTAAAGAGGAAAAGCTTTTTTATTTCCTTTTAAGGAAAATATAAAAGCATTTTTTTTTCTGACTATAGTTTACTCCTTGTAGAAAACTTGGAATATATAATAACATCTTAAGAGGAAAATGTCAATCCCATAACCCTAAGATAATAGTCATTAACATTTGGTGTTGAGATCATATTGGGCATATTGCTATCTCAAATCTTTGAGACAGGGAATGAGACAGGGGGGAAATACATAAATTCACACATTTATATACCATTTTTTCATTTGTTTTTAAAACTGCAATCATTTTTTTTCACTGTACATTCTTTTTTTTTTTTTTTTTTTCCTTTTTTTCTCTTTTTTTT